TTTTTCTGGATTTGGCCGAGATCCATAGCCTTTGGTATATGCTCATAATTTTTGTTTACATTTGAGTTCATAAACTACTACTAGTTCATTAGTAGTTTTCTTAGAAATATTGTAGGTTTCCAAAATTTCAAAATGTCTTAAAAATTTTCTTCCATCCGTGAGTGTTTGATCTTCATTGTTTAAAAGTGTGTTGAAAATTGTGTTTGTATTCAAATTTGAATTTGAATTGTGGAGCCTAAAACCGTGAGCATGTGCCATTCAAATCTACAAGCATGAAAAGCATGATACATTTGTTTTAAATTTGAACCTAATTTGGCTTGTCATTTGGCATTTCTTTTGAATCCGGTTTTGGTGTTTCCTCAAGGTGACCGAGAGTTACATGATACATATATGTTGGACAGCAAAAGGCAACTCCTAATTGATTAAAAAAAAATTATTAGAAGAAAGATCAAAAGAAATTCAAAACAAAAGTGATTAAAAAAAATGCTAAACCTAACCTCTTTGAGTCTTGTCTTACACATATTACTCTTAATTTATAACATAAAAACTAATTATTAATATCCGTAATGAATAATATCAATTTTTGTTATTTAATTATAATGAATAATATGTTTATAATTTACTAGTGCAGTCCATATTTTCTTCTAAAGGAATGCCAAATTTTTGAGTGACTAATATAGTTATAATAGTTGGTAACTTCTTCCTTCTCCGACGTGTTGTAAACTGAATGAAAGGTCAATGGCACACAGTCCAATCAACAAGCAAACAAACAACGTACTACAAACAACATTACCTGTGACCTGTCCCTACAGAACTGCTTTACTCTTTTGAATCAGTTCCATCCAATTTCAGACCACACACCCTTTAGACTTGATAAATTAATTTTTTCATCATGCATGTGATATATTTACAAATAAATTTATCTAATTCATTATAATAAAAATAAATAATAAATTTAATTTAATTCAATTATTTAATTTTAGGAATATTTAATGATTCATCTACTACTATTTTAAAATCTATTGAACTATTATGAGATATTTATTGAATTAAAATTTTAAAAGATTATTTTAACATAATTTTTTTTTATAAATTTTAAAAAATTATATAAAAATATAATAATTTATAATAAAATAAATAAATAAATAAGATGTTTCAAAAATAAAAATTGTTTAATTTTTAAAATATTATTTTTATGGATGAATTTCCAATTCATTTAATTAAAAAATTGTTAATGAATCAATTTTTTTTAATTTTAAATAAATTAAAATTTAAAAAATTTAAATAAATTAATGAATTATTTTTATGTGACGATTAAGATGAATTAAAAAAAATATTTCGAAACATCCATTTGTCAATCTCTTCCCATATCTACATATGTAGATAGCACCGATTGACACTTGCAATGCCTCGAACCAACATTATCATGATGCAACATGAATCAACCCTATCACTAATAATCTTACAACTACTTCTACTTTTGTCATGCCTAACATTGGAAAACTATGCAAAATCAACCACCATCATCAATGTATGGCCAAAACCAAGGAACCTCACATGGTCCCCACCATACCAAGCCACCCTTCTTTCTCCCACATTCACTATCACCACCACTAACCACCACAACAAGCACCTCTCCGCCGCCATCAGCCGCTACCAAAGCCTCGTCAAATTGGAGCACCACCACCCCCTAGTCCCCCATGGAGTGAACATCTCCAAGGACCTCCCACCACTGCAGTCTTTGACTATTACAGTGGTGGATCCTCATGCAGGACTCGTCCACAGCGTGGACGAGTCCTACACTTTATCCATCCTCTCTTTCTCGGCCACCCTCACTGCAGAGACTGCATGGGGTGCCATGCGAGGCTTGGAGACATTCTCCCAACTCGCATGGGGTAATCCCACGCAGATTGCAGTGGGGGTGCACGTGTGGGATTCTCCCCACTACCCCCACCGTGGTATCGTGGTGGACACAGCAAGGAACTATTACCCTGTGAAGGATTTGCTGAGGACAGTGGAAGCCATGAGCATGAACAAGCTCAACGTGTTCCACTGGCACATCACTGACGCAGAATCTTTCCCTTTGATATTGCCTTCTGAACCTGCCTTGGCTGAAAAGGGGGCTTATGCCTCTCACATGGTGTATTCACCCGAGGATGTTAAAAGAGTTGTGGAATTTGGACTTGATCATGGGGTTCGTGTAATTCCCGAGATTGATACACCTGGTTAGTTCAATTTCTCTTACTCTTGACTTTCTAGCTGAAAAAGTTGAATTAGAAAATTTTCTAACTTGAAGAAGGTGCTGAATTGATTAATTGACTGAGTACTATGCGGTTCCTCTCTGTATGTCTCTCATTTCAAGGAATTAAAAAATAGCTTGTGTGGTAGTTCGCAAAACTTGAATTAGAAAACATTCTAACTTGAAGAATGTGCTGAATTGATTAATTGCCTGATTATTGTGTTTCCTTAAGTCCAAGACCACCATGATCTCATCAATCTTCATGTGTGTTATATAATTGAGTGTTATTAATATTAACTTGTTAGTTGAAAATTAAGGTTGTATGCTGCATGAAGATTAGTAGGGACTGTGGACATGTAGTGGTCCAAGACTATGTAATAATTCCTCTTTCCTTTCAGCATGTTTGCCATTTCAAGAAATTAAACAAGCTGTGTGTAAATAGCAGTAATTGGTTGAGTAATTAATTAATTTGTAATTTTCATGCTGCCTCGTATTCCTAGAGATTGTGGTGTCAAATTTTAGCATCGACAAAGGTCATATTCAATTCTTGAGACAAACAAAAGGTTTGAACATGAGAGGATCCATTCCACTTCTTTCATTTTCATTTATTCATCGACTTCTTTTCATCAAAACCATGTTCCATTATTTCAAGACTGACTTTTTGGCTTTATAGAGTTTCTTTGTTAAATATGCGTTTAAGTATGTATTTTCCTTGCCAGAATGTTAGAAATTAATGGTTGAGAGACATAGACTTAAACCATATATAATGATATATGTTTTACCTCAAAACCTTGTCAGTATTTGATAACAAAACTTTAAGCTTCTCATTCAAGATCATACACTTCCTTAGTAGACAAATGTCAAAAAGTTAAGGAAACTCAAATTCTTCATTTGCCCAACAATGCAACTTTGGTTACTAATGTGTCTGAATTGTTATCGTAAAGATTAGATCTCTAATACAAAAAAGAATGGAATCCTACCATTGTGCTGAATGAAGTGAACCACTGTACTGAGTTTATGTCTGAATTGGGATCCTACTATAGTGATTATTGCCATATCGGGTTACATAGAACACGCCTTCATCTGGTGTGAACCTTACTCTGAGCTTACCAAGAGAATGTTATTTTTCTAGCAAGTTTTGATGTTTAAATTGAAGTCTACATTGTTTGCAGATCACTAGGTACCATTAGAATGTCAAATTCTTTGAAGTTAGAACCTCACGTAAAGGAGCCGCAGACTAAATATTGTAACCATAAGGCCAATTAACAAATCAACTAGGCTTTTGTATGATATCCAAGTTTAAAACATTTATTTTTCTGTGATATTATGATCATGTCTGAAAAGAAGTTAAAAGTGCTTTTAGAGAGTTTCTCTAGTGAAAATAAAGAGAATTTTTCAATAAAAAAGATTTTCAAAACACTTCTAAACTTATCCAAACAGACTTAATATTTTGATTGAAAACCGTATCTTTCTTTTCCTCTTCCACATAATTTAGCTAGTATTTCTGAGAATTATGATAATCAACCACTGATTGAAATGAACTACATATGTGCAGCTCACACAGGATCTTGGGCATTAGCCTACCCTGACATTGTAACTTGTGCCAACATGTTCTGGTGGCCAGCTGATAGTGATTGGCCTGATAGAGTTGCTTCACAACCAGGATCAGGACACTTGAACCCCTTAAACCCCAAGACATACCAAGTCCTAAACAATGTCATACACGATATAACCACATTGTTCCCAGAACAATTCTACCACTCAGGTGCTGATGAGGTTATACCAGGTTGCTGGAAAACCGATCCCACAATTCAGAAGTATCTATCAAACGGTGGAACCCTCAACCAAGTCCTTGAGAAGTTCATCAACAACACTCTCCCTCTCATTGTGTCCCTCAACCGCACCGCTGTGTATTGGGAAGATGTCTTGCTAGATGACACAGTCCATGTTCCATCCACAATGCTCCCCAAGGAGCATGTGATTCTGCAGACATGGAACAATGGACACAGCAACACCAAGAAGATAGTTTCTTCCGGGTACAGAGCCATTGTGTCATCAGCAGAATTCTACTACCTGGATTGTGGACATGGCACCTATGTTGGGAACAACAGTGCCTATGACAACCAAAATGGGGATGACACAGGCAACGGTGGCTCTTGGTGTGCACCCTTTAAGACATGGCAGACCATATACAACTATGATATAGCATATGGGTTGAGTGAGGAGGAAGCAAAGTTGGTTTTGGGTGGGGAGGTAGCACTGTGGTCAGAACAAGCTGATTCAACTGTTTTGGATGCAAGGATTTGGCCTAGCAGTTGTGCATTGGCTGAGGCACTGTGGTCAGGGAATAGGGATGAGAAGGGTAGGAAGAGATATGCTGAGGCCACTGATAGGTTGAATGAATGGAGAAGCAGAATGGTAAGCAGAGGAATAGGGGCTGAGCCTATTCAGCCACTTTGGTGTGTTAAGAACCCTGGCATGTGTAACACTGTTCATCCTGTCTAGTTGCATTCTTACTATGTAAAACAAAAATAAGGATAAATTAAAAAAAAAAAAGCTTAAATATATTTTTAGTTACTATAAAATTGATGATTTTGATTTTAATCCCTCTAAAATTTATAAACATTATCATTATCCTTGTAAAATAAGTAAATTTTAATTTTAATTTTTATAAAATATTTTTCTTTGATTCTCATCCTTCTAAAATCTAAATGAGTTATTTTTAACCTCTAACAATCATTTTAAGTTGGATAAATGAAATTATTTTAAAGATTTATAATTTTTTTAAAGATGTTAAATATCGATATAATATCAGTAATGGTTATAGATAACACTTAAGTAAAAAGTAGTTAAAAATGATTATATGAAAATTGGGACTAAAAATAATAATTTTAATTTTATAGGGATGAAAAAATAAAGAATTTTTTTTTACAAGAATTAAAATTAAAATTTACTAATTTTATAAAAATTAAAAATATATTTAAACCTAAAAAAATAATAACTTAATTACACTTATCTACGGTGGTAGAGAAATTTTGATACCCTTTATTTTAATATTTTAATTGCTTGATTCTAGTCTATATATTTGATAATGTGCAATTTTAATTCACCTTTAAATTACCATTCAAATTTTAGTAGAAATTATGATGTGGCAAATTTATGCCACATGAGCGTTATTTATTTTGATTTTATTTTTTACAAGTTAAATTGTTAAACATTACGAAAAGAAGAAAATATATATATATAGAAGACAAAATGTCACTTATTTCTAATAAAATTGCTGTTAGAATTCAACAATTGTTTTGGATCTTAGATTTTGCTAACTATGGAGTGGAGTTAGGAAAACGTAACAATTTCAAAAAAAAAAAAAAAAACAGTTTGATGGTGTTGGGCATTTATCTGATACAATATTATTGTTACTTTTATATCTTCATCCATTTAACGGTCACTCGGTCAGTGACATTTTGTCTTCTAAAGATATTTGAATATTAAATGATTTCACGTGTAATAAAATAAAATATATCCCCTAAAAAAATAATATTTATGTGGTATAAATTTGTCATTTCATGGTTCGTGTTAAAAGTTGGATGGCTATTTAGCTGGGAGACAAAATATATCTCACGAGTCTTGACGAATATGTTTCGGTTTGTGACTCAATTATATTTAATTATTTAAAATTAATTTTATTATCACTAATTGTACGAATCAATTAATAGTCTCATATTCGAGTTTTAAAATATAATTATGTTAAATATTTAGGATGAAAGTTTTGCCTCCCACCTCAACCTCCTTTTCGATTTCTTAGAATATTTTTTTAATAAAAATAATATTTATAAGTTAAATCAGTAACATGATATAAGATCATTATCTTTTATATTTTTTATTCAATGTATTTTTTTAAAATTACCAAAATTCAAAAAATATCTACATTTTACTAATGTATATTAAAAGATATTTTTCATGTGTTGCAATATTTTTTGTCTCTATATGCTTCAGAAAATCTCTTTTTCGAAAAATGAGTTCATTCAACAAATAATTCCCTCTTTGGTTTTGTTAGATGATAACCTCATGTTGTCCAATGTCCCCATGTTGGTAGAGGTGAAAGATGCGGTGTTTGCCATGAATCATCTAGTGCGCCTAGGCTAGATGGTTTTGGCGGAAGATTCTATCATGTTTTTTGGGATATCACAGTAGTGGATGTTCATAAGTCAATATTGTAGTTTTTTAAGCAAAACTGGGTTCTGCTCGGTCTTAATTCTAATAGAGTAACTTTCATCTTGAAGTTCCCTTATGTCGATAAGGTGGAAGATTTTCGACCTATTGCTATTGCTAATTTTCAATTCAAGCTAATTAGTAAGGTAAAATTAGGGATCTCCACAAAATTATTTAAAACTAAACTTTTTAAATAACTAAACTAAAATAAACTAAATTATTTTTTAATAGTTTAAACCAAACTATTATTTTTAGTGTAGTTTATAAAGCTAAACTATTAAAATTAATAGTTACCGAATCCAAACACATTCACGGAAAACTAAATCCAAACACATTCACGGAGAGTTATGTAGGTGGGTCTTCCAATTTTGCTTCAATCTTCACTCCTTCCCAAAGAAAGTCAAAACTTTGTCCTAGAGGGGATGGCCCTTTCCAAATCCTTACGAAAATCAATAATAATGCCTATGTCTTAGATCTCCCTTCTGAGTATGGAGTTAGTTCTAGTTTCAATGTTTCTGATCTATCTCTTTTTACAGGACTAGCTACCCAAGAGGAGGATGCTTTGGATTTGACGACAAATCCTCTTCAAGAGGGAGGGGATGATGGAGGAGACCCATGGGCTAAGGGCCCAACTACTAGGGCTATGGCAAGGATGATGCATGAAGAGTGGGCCCAAGCCCAAGGAAAGCCCACCACTTTATTTTGTTGGGCTTTGTCTCAAGCCCATTAGATTAGGGTTAGT